CTGAGCCCTGAGCCTCGGCGGCCTCCCTCTGTCCCGCCGCTCCATGGCCGCACGCGGCCTCCCTCTGTCCCAATAGAGACTCCATCCTTCCTGTCCCGGGAGGTTCCTCCTCTTGGGCCCTGGAGTTAGAGCAGGCAGCGAGGTCCCTTCTGCAAGCTTGGGGGAGAGGGCATTGCTCTTTGTAACCAAGAAACCTTAGGAGAGTCCAGGGTGCTGGTGGGCACGGGCGTTGGCGGCCTGGCTGCATGCTGGGCAGAGGTGGTCGGTATTTCAAACCTGACACAGGACGGGGCTCCTGGCCAATGGCCTGAACCTGACCGGTGGGGGGCCGCCGGGACTGGCTTCCCTCCCAGGAGTCTGGGGAGGTGTCCCAAGATGGGGCCCATCCAGGGCCCCAGGGGCAGAGAGTGACTGCCCTGCCCCCTTACAGGGGCCACACTGCTGCTCCAGGGGCTGTGTGCCAACACCATCCTACGGCTCCTGGATCTGAAGGTGAGGGACCTGCCGAGGGGGAGGAAGTGGGTGCCCCGGCGACATGGGGTCTGGGCTGTGGCCGGAGACTGTCTGTAAGAACTGTTGGCACCCAGCGTCACTGTGTCCTGGGGGTCCTGGGCGTGTGTGTGTGTGGGTGCGTGCGTGTGTGTGTGTGTGTGTGCGTGTGTGTGTGTGTGTGCGCACGTGTGTGTGTGCATGTGTGTGTGTGTGTGTGTTCTGAGGGTGGGAATGTGAGTTCCAGAGGGTCCCCATAAGCAAACCAAACGAACCGGCCCCAGGTGGCCCACTGCGGGCAGGGAGCCGAGCCTGGCCTCCCCCATGGCCTGACCAGGGCCCTGTGGGTTGTGCACGGCCCGGACAACGGGTCTGCCTCTTCCTGTCTGTCCCAGGGCAACAACCTTCAGGCCAAAGGGGCTGAGGCTCTGGGCAAACTCCTCCGACAGAACAAGTCCATTCAGAGGTAAGGTGCCGCCCGGCCCCCCGCCCTCCTCCCCGGCCCCCCGTTTCTCTGCACCGGTTAGGGCTGGCCCCAGAGGACTGGGTTCTGCCCCTGAGGGTTCAGATCTTCCAGCCGGTTGCCCCTGTTTCCCATCCATCTGCGGGGATTAGGTGGGTACAGGTTCCACACGTGGCTCCAGACTTCCTGCCAGAGAAGCCCGGGCCTGCCCGCCCCCCCCCCCAGTCCCAGGGACCCCATGGGAGCAGGTGCTCCTCGACCCTTCCCGCAGCCTCACCCTGGAGTGGAACAACCTGGGTGCCTGGGAAGATGCCTTCGCCACCTTCTGCCGGGCGCTGGCGGGCAACCTCTCCCTGCGGCAGCTGGACCTTCGCAACAACCAGATCAGCCACCAGGGCGCGGAGGAGCTGGCCCTGGCCCTGAAGGGCAACACCAGCCTCCAGCAGCTGGGTGAGGCCTGGCGGCCGGCTCCCCGCCCTCCCGCCACTTCTCTTGTCCTGTCCCGGAGGCCGAGGGCTGGGGTCAGGAGGCTGGGGGAGCCACGCTGGGCTCCTGCCTGTTGGTGATGCCCAGAGGCAGCATCCTGGCCAGGCCGGCTCCCCAGGTGACGAGGTTTCCTCCCAGACCTGCGCTGGAATAACATCGGCCTCCTGGGCGGCCGGGCCCTGGTGAGCTGTCTCCCCAGCAACAGAACCCTGTGGAGGCTGGAGCTGGCCGGGAACAACGTCCCCAGCGACGTCCTCAGAGCCGTGGGTACGGGCGCCCTGTTTGGAGCTGTTGGACCATAAAGTGCCCGAGGCCCCGCCTCCGAGGGCGGGGGTGTCCCTAGATTAAAAACGGAACGAGAGCCGACCCTGGAACCTGCTCATTTGGTTCTTAGATCCCCCCAAGGGCGGTCACCCATTTCACAGATGAGGAAGCTGAGGCAGTGTGGCCCCGGCCTTGCTTGCCCTGACGGCTGAGCTGCTGCCTCGGATGGCACCTGCCCCCGCCACCCCTGAGTTCATGGCCGCCAGGCCCGAGCCACGGCCTCCACGGCCCTTTCCCGTCAGCGATGCTGGCTCCTCGGCCCAGGCCCAGCAGAGTGCCCCGCCCTTCCCTGAGGCTCCTCGTCCTGCCAGCCATCAGGGGCCCACACTCGGCTGGAACCCTGCACAGCTCTCCACCTCCTGCTGGGGCTGCCTGGCCCGTGTCACTTCTGGCTCCTTCATTCTGGGCCTGCCTCTGGGTCACCCCAGCTGTTGTCATTACTCCTGACACCAGGGCCACTCCTGGCTGGTCCCTCTTCAAATGCTGCCCAGGTCTTCCCAGAACACAGGAGCTCACCACTTAAAAGTCACACCGTGGCCTTTGACCTCGGGGACGGAGGGCAAATGCCTCTCTCCGTGTGTGCCCTCCACCCCATGTCTGGCGCCCCCCACACCCACGCTGAAGCCCTTCAGCCCCCAGTGCCCTGGGCGTCTGCATGGTTGTGGGTGAGCCATTGCCACGCACAGGCCTGGTCCTCGGGCTGCTGGGTTCTGAGCTCGGGCCGGGCTGAGCAGCCAGCCCCTGGTGGGTAACTCGGCGCCTCCCCACAGAGCAAGCCATGGACCACAACCAGGACCGGGAGGCCACCGTCCGGGAGAACCGGGCCCGCACCCGTGTGCTCAGCAAGGAGGTGCGGCACCTGCGGGAAGAGAAGTCCAAGCAGGTGAGCACGGTGCTGCCTGACACAGCCCCCGGCCCGGCCTGGCTGCGTGGTGGAAGGTCCCTCCTG